TACAATGTTTTGTAAATTTTAAAACTTTTCATTGAAGGTAACGTTGCCAGCATTTAAATCATTGCCAATTTTCACGAAGGAAGATTATACTGTTTCTTCAGAAACAGGAAACGTCAATGATAATTATTTTCGCTAGAGAATAAATATACTTCTTACTTCACAAATATTTCTTAATGAAATATTAGAAACAAATCACCCGCAGCAGTGTGTTTTAATCACCGTGATCAGAGATAATATTATACCAAGACTTCGGTCTTTTAATTATAGAAGGAATCTTTTCGCCAAAGAAAAAAAAACATCGGCTTTTTTCCAATTTCTAAGGCAGATTCTTATGCGCATGGCCTTCTGTTGGGAAAATGGCTGCGCTATCTCTAATAAAAAATTACCCTGATTTTTTTATATAGTAATGCGGTCCGACTTATGTAGGTAAATTCACTAATTCGGTATACGTAAGATTTAAAATTAATTTTTAAAAATGAAAGAGCTTTCTTGAGGTTTTCGTTTCAGCTTTAATTGTAATGTTTTATTTCCAGCAGGCAAAATACTCTGTGGTATATTTCAAACAGAAATTATATTGATTAGAATCGATTTTTTCAGTAAAATCGATCTAAACATCCATTTTTGACAGATTTGTAAACAAAAGTTAATTCTCGGCTTTAAAAAATATAATATATATTTCTGTTGTGTAGGAACCTGCCACCCCTCTTGAAGATGAACTCGTCTACAAACAAGGACGTTAAATAGTGGCATGTCAAAAGACAGTGTCGGAGAAGTCCTTGAGCTGAGGTGTTACTTTTTGCTTTTACACCGCTTCTTCTCCTGACCGGTGTTTGACTTTTTTGCCGTCATCCAAAGGACTATTTTTTCAATTTTGCTGACTGCCTTAGTTAAGTTTTTTGATTTAATTGTTTACCATTTTTCTAACGTATTTTTTTTGACTCTTTTGTTAAATTTGTCATTTTTCGAACTTTCTTATTTTGACCTTTTGTTTTTTCCTTTTCATTTCCTTTCCCTTTTTACCGTTACTTCCTTTTTGTTATTAATTATTTCTGTTTTAATTTTTATTTACGTTTTACTTTTTCCGTGTTAAGTCTATTTTTTTCAGTACCCACACCCCGGAGTTTTTCTGTTTATTTTTCGTTTGACCTTTTTATTTTTAATTATTACGTGTTAATTATTTCTGTGTTACCCGTTTAAAAAAAAAAAAAAAAAAAAAGTTTAAGTCTGTGTTTATAATATTTGTTTTTCATTTTTGTAATTTCTGTCCCTCCTCATTTTTTTTTAACGTTTTTTTTTCTTTATTGGGTTGACCGTTTTTTAGCGGCAGCCATTTTGTAAATTGTAACTTTTTTTTTTGTTTCGTACGTATTGCGTTTTTCTTTTCCGTTTATAACTATTAGTTTTATTTTTTAATTTGTTGCTTTCTTGTCTGTTGTCCTTTTAATTTTGTTCTTTCTTCGTTTTTGTGAACCTTGTTCACATTTTCTCGTCTGTATTTGTTTTGCGTTTTTTTTTTTACCTGTTTACATTTGTGGTTTTTTTTTGCACACGTCCTTCTGTTTATTTTTTTTTTGTCTGTTGTTATTTGTTTAATTGTTGTTTGCTGAAGGCCAAACTTTATTTTTTACCCTCCCCTTTTATTTTTTTTTTCTCCTCCCTCCGCCTATAAGGTGGTTCCCCACCCGTATTTACCCCCCCCCTCCTTCTTATTATTTAAAAATGGATAAAAAAAAGGAAAAAAAACCACCCTCCTTTTTGGTTATAAAAAAAAAGCCCGGGTTATAAAAAGGCTATACGAAAACACTTGTTTAACCCAACCAAAAAAGACCCCCCGGACAAAGATTTAAAAGGAGTTTCCTGCTCTTAAAACCTCTTCCCCTAGCAACATTGAAACTGTTGGGGAAAAAGAAAAATGGAAAAAATATTTCTACGGAAGCCAAGAATGGCAATAAAAAAGGATATAACTATGGAGGCCAATAATGGCCAAGATTCTGAAAAATTGAAAATCCAGAAAGGAACCGCAACTGAGCCTGAGGCCGGGGAATCGCCCTCTTGTTGGTCGTCCCCTCCTAAGTGTATTATCAATTTAGCGGAGTTCTTGGAGCGTGCCAAAAGTTACGCACACCTTTGTTGTAGAAGGTGGACTTTTGGAAGACCCCCAAGAATTGAAGAAAATTGACAAAGAATAGTGTCAGTTTTCGTCGTGGACAAGCGAACGCGCAAAATTTGTCGCTCGACGAAAACACAGTGTTAAAAGCACTGGAATCTTTTGGGTTCAAGCCCCTTAGAATAGTTAAGGGACCTAAATTTTTCATGTGGGACGTACTGTTGCCCACATCAGAAGATTGCGTCGCCGCGGCCAGCCGTGAGCTAATTAACAAAGAAATCATACTGCGTACAGAGTACGAAGGCCGACGTAAGACCAGGGTAACGGTATACGAGGTCCCTCCTCAGGTTATCGGGGAACATCTCGCTGCGTTCTTCTCTCAGTATGGCGAAATTCTGGGAGCTTCCTGTGATAGCCTGAGCGGGGGGTGGAGCTTTGACATCATGTTGGACGAGAAAGCCTTCCGCTCCATCCCCAACTGTCTGGATGTTGGCGTTTTGAAATTACCGGTCATTGTGACGGGTCGAAGACCGGTATGCTGGAGGTGTGGAGTGACTGGTCATCTCTCCTCCTCCTGCCCAGAGAAGAAGGCCTCTGGAGTTCAAGCGCCAGTTACTCAAGATCCCCCTCTGACCGCGTCTCTAAATTCCGCCTCGCCTGTAATGGGCGTACCAGCCTCCGGGACCGGGTCGGTTAATCCTCCGGTCGGCGCGACATCAAAAGCCACATTCCCCAAAGAGCCTTCGCCCGCTGCCGGTGCAGTTGTGGAGAAGGGGAGGGGAATGGCTGGTTGCTGGTAAGGCCAGAGGGAAGCGCCGGACAGCGGGTCCTCAGTCCCCTGATGCCCCCAAGGAAGAAAGGCACATACAGCCCCTCCCTCTAACAACGTTAAGGGCGATGCCCCGGCCTCTGAAGAATCATTTCAAGAAAATGCAAAAAGATTTGATCCAGGTTTTGAAAAGTCAGAAAAATTAAAAGAATTAAAAAAGTCAACTCGATTCAAAAAGAAAAGAACCAAGCCCTTCAACGTCCTCTAATAGACCCACCCCTTCTCCAAAGAAACAACCCCACCATCGCCTGCTATTTCACCATCCAAGGCCAAACCCAACAGTAGAGATCCCAGCCCCTATAGACACAGATCCTTTTATACCCCCATGAACACACCCACTCCTTCCCCGTTAAACAAAAACCCACCCCCCCTTCATACCCCCAAGCAATCACCGGCAAAAAATGCCGAGATGCCTCCTCCTGCTCCAAAAGGCAAAGAAGCCCCACTCAAGATGCAAAAGAAGAAAAAAGAAAGAAAAAAAAAGATGCATTTTTAACACAGGAGAGGAGGTATGCTGTATTTCCCCAGCCCAGGCCGAGAGAGCCAGGACTACGGCAATAGGGTGAAAGAGCTAAAATACCTTCTCTCAATAAAGCAGTTTGCCGATTTGGACATCGAATATCCTCAAAATTTCCCAAATGCCCAGAGGGTCCTGACAGTTATTAGGTCAGGACCTGCGGCTAATCAAGCCTGGGCTATGGTTGAGGAAGCGGTAAATGCCTGTAAATGGCTTTGCCCATTGCCATTGTTGAAAATGACAAATTAAAAAAATTACAACAGTTCTGTGCAGGGAGGGTCCCCGTTTTAGTTCACCCATCCCTGTATAGAGCTCTTAAATTGACCTTCCCTGGGATATCGGCGGTATCTCCCAGGACGGCACCATCAAGAATGAGATGGGCCATGGGTCTTTGGGAGACGCGGTCGGTATCCTTACCCCGGCCATGTTTAATGCTGGTAAACAACCCTAATCGGACTTCACAATGGCTCTCTGGTTGGCTACGTTAAATGTGGGGCCTGAGGTCCGAGTCTCGCAGGGCGAGGCTCTCTCGTGACCTTCAGCGCCTCGGGGTAAATGTTTGTTGTGTGCAAGAGACCCATTTTTTCTTCTCATGACCGTGAGGATATACTGTCTAAGGGTTCGCCCTTTTTTCAGCATGTTTTGATGGTCGTTCGAGGGGTGTCTCTTGGCTAGTGAGCAAGTCTTTGAGGCTGCATGTTCCCTTGTCTTCGCAGATCCGGCGGGCAGGCTTTGTGTGCTGGATGTTACTATAAAGGATAAGGCTTTACGTCTCATTGGGGTTTATGCGCCCAATGTTCATGCTGAGCGGCCTGCTTTGTTTCGGCAGATCGAGCCGTTTTTGACGACTTCTCGTCGGGTAGTCTTAGCGGGGGATTGGAATGCCGTCCTTGACCCCGATATAGATCGTATAGGTAAAAAACCGGGTACTAACAATCCTGATGTGAAGGCATTTCGGGACTTTATCGACAGGTTTGATCTTGTCGATAAGTACCGGAATGAGCACCCTCAGGAGGTAGCATGGACTTGGACAACTAGTGGCAACTCGGCTAGTGGCTCGCTTGCGAGCTACCTGGACCGAGTGTTAGTTAGGAGAGTCGACGTAGGGCTCTTAGAGTGTCCAAGTTTCCATTATATAGTTTACACGGATCATAGGCTTGTCCGGGTCCGTGTAAACTTAGATAAACCTAAGGTTAGATTGGCTGGTTACTGGAAATTTAACTGTTCACTTTTCGGTGAACAGGATTTCCGGGACCAGCTGCTACTAATGATTCAGAGGGAATTGACGGGGCGGTTGTGGGTAACGCCTGGTGGGGAAAATTAAAATCAAAATTAGAACGTTTGCAGCCGATTTTAGTCGTCGACTCAATCTAGATAGACTAGCGGCGCAAACGGCATTAGAAGATAAAGTTGATCGGGCCGTCAAATCCCGTGTTAGTGGGGACATAGTCTTAGCTAAGGCAGAGTTGGCCTCCTTGCTTATCAAGAAGGATCAAGCTCTGGTAGTTAGGGCTAGGCTAAAGAGAATGTCTTCTGAGGCGACGAATATGGCCGCAGAATTGCGTGCAGAGGAAAATCGGAACGCGGCTAAGCGACATATAGCGTGCGTCACATTGCCGGATAAGCGGACCGTGACTACAAGCGCGGGCATATGCGAGGCCTTTCGGCTTTATTTTCAGGATCTTTTCACCAGGGAGCCCGGTCTGAGCTCTGCTCAGTTCGATGCCTATTTGGCTGACTTTCCCTGCCTTGAGGCAGCTGAAGCGGCTAGGTGCGAGGGTCCCATAACAGAGTCGGAAATCTGGGATGCGCTGAAGCAGGTTGGCCTGGATAAGTCTCCGGGACTAGATGGACTTCCCTACGAAGTGTACTTGAGGCTGTCGCCCGTTTTTGTTCCTTTGCTGCAGCTGATTTACAACCACTGGATGAGGCAGGGTCTTTACCTCGACGCTTCACCAGGGGTGTGATCTGTTGTTGCGTAAGGACAAGAACGGTGGGGATGGGTTAGGGAACTTTCGCCCTTTGACGATGTTAAATACTGACTTAAAGATTTTGGCGAAGATCTTAGCCAACCGTTTGCAGCTTGTCCTGTCTCGTCTGATTGGCCCCGAACAGACTTGTGCTGTGAAGGGCAGGACGATTCAGGATAACCTTCATATGGTACGCTTGATCTTAGAACAAGTCGACAGTGAAGCCGCGCTGATCAATTTAGATCAGTCCAAGGCCTTCGATAGGGTTGACCATCGGTTTCTGGAGGCTGTCCTGTCGGCGGCCGGTTTCGGAGCCGACTTTCGCTCCTGGATCCGGCTCTTGTATGCGACCCCCGGTGCGCTGGTGGAAGTGAATGGGGTAAGGTCGGAGCCTTTCGTATTGTCTCGCTCCATTCGTCAAGGTTGTCCGCTATCGCCCTTGCTTTACGTTCTTGCGTTGGAACCATTCCTTCGCAAGTTAAAGGCGAATCCGGTCCTGCGCGGAATTACCCTGCCTGGCGCTACCACCTCGGCCAGGTATTCTGCCTATGCTGACGACGTTTCGGCTCTTGTGTCGAGCAGAGCCGAGATTGACGAAGTCAGCAAAGAAATAAGTGGGTATGAGATGGTGACAGGGGCCAGGATCAACCGTGATAAGTCTGTGGGCTTGCGGTTGGGTGCGTGGAAGGAGTTTCTCTTCCCGGACCTTTCCTCTGGACGGATGGGCCGATCAAGATACTCGGCGTCTGGTTCGGTCCTGATCTCCAGTTGGAAGTGAACTGGTCGGAGGTACAAGGGAAGGCCGAGATCGCGGTTAATCTGTGGTCTCGGAGGAGACTTTCCCTGAAGGGAAGGGCGGAAGTATGTGTTTCACACATCTATCCGATCCTCCTCTACCGACTCTCTGTGCTTCCACTCCCGTATGCTAGACTAATGCAATTAGTCAGGACCTTGTTCTCTTTCTTGTGGAGAGGCAAGGCCCCTATGGTATCTCGCGATGTCTGTTGCCTCCATCCCTCTGAGGGCGGTCTGGGGATGCCTAGCATTGAGATCCGTCAATATATGCTTCGCATTACCTTTTTAGACCGAATGTGTCGTGGGTCGAATGAGGAGGGTGCCTTTTGGAAAGAAGACGTCCAGAAACATTTTCCATCCCTGAAAAGTGTGCACTCGTGCGAACAAGAGGCCGGCCGTTTACCACGTGCCGAGTGCTCTTTTTATCGTGAATGTCGTCGCGCTCTGAAGCTCCTCTTACGGGTTTCGGATGGTCTCTCCAACGCCCAGGCGTTGTCTCGCAAGGCATTATATCAAGTTTTAGTTAGGGGTCCGTTCAAGATGATCTGATTGGCGAGCTCGGTCTTACGAAGCGGGAGGCTCGCTCGATATGGCCTTGGGCGCCCGGGTTGAAATGTCTCAATAACGATGAGACATCACTCACCTGGCTGGTGATTCGTAAAGCCCTCTGGGTCAGCAAGAGACTTTGTTCAGCAGGCTTGGAGAAAAGTCCAAACTGTCGTCGTTGTACGGGGGAAGTCGAGAGACTATTGGTCACGCCTTCTTTCAGTGCAGGGTGGTAGTGCCGTTGTGCAAGTTTCTTGAGGGCCTCATGGTTCGCATGCTACATGGAAAGGTTTTTGTCCTGGATGCCAGAGCTGTTTGTAGCAATGTGGTGCCGCAGATGACGAAGGCTGAACACTATGTGTTCTGTTGCTTACTAGGGGTTATGAGAGTCGTGATTTGGACGACGCGTCAGAAGGGATTCCATGAGGGCGAGAAGTTCACTTTTTCCCAACTGATCTTGTTCTTTAAGCATCAGCTTAAAGTCAAGATCAGGACGGAAAGGCGGCGGCTCACCTCATCGGAATTCAGCAAAAGGTGGGTGATTCTTGCGCGAATGTGCCGAGTAAAAGGGCTGACCTTGAGTGGCATTTGGATGCCGGTTAGGCATTAAGGATATTGTTTTCCTGGGTTGAACATAGGCAACCCATCCCGGAGTTAGGTTAGATTAGGTTTTTTGTATTTTTTCTTTTAGTTTTTCTATTCTGGTAAACTTAGCTAAGGTGTATTTGCTCATTGGTCCCCTTTTATTTCTATCCCTTTTTTTTTCTTCCTTTAGTTTAACTCCCATCCCTCCCTCGTTTTTTTTAGGTGGTCAGTAATGTCAGTTCTCTGGTAGATGTGGGGCGCCTTTCGTTTCGTGTGTGTGTTTTTCGTACTTGTTGTTGTGTATAAATGAGTGTGTGCCTGTGTGAGTGCTTGGGATGAATGAGTGTGGCCTTATTTTCATAAGTCCCGCATCGATTTCGTCCAGTTAACTGATATTTCTGCCACATTCAAGAGTTTGTGGGGGGTTTTATTACTAACTCTAATTTTATTTGGTTTCTTGTAAATATATTTTGTCATTTTGTATATATTCATTGGGGTTCATTTTTAAAAGTTGTTGTTTTTTATGCCCCTCCCCCCACAGACAAACATTTTGTACATAAGGGGATTATTTAGGTTTTTTCATGGAGTCAGAGAGGCATTTTGGTGTTTGTAGTAAGAAAGGTATGGATAAATGTGTTGTTTTGGTGAAAGGAATATTGTTCTGTATGATAGGGTCAGTGATTGTGGCTAGCTAAGTTTAATCTAAGACTAGTGATGACCGTCCTTCACCCCAATCCCCTTTTCGGCCTTGTGCCACATTTGTACATATGTGCAATAAATAATGAGAAGTCCTTGAGCTGAGGTGTTACTTTTTGCTTTTACACCGCTTCTCAAAGGACTATTTTTTCAATTTTGCTGACTGCCTTAGTTAAGTTTTTTTGATTTAATTTTTACCAGTTTTCTAACATATTTTTTTTTTTGACTCTTTTGTTAAATTTGTCATTTTTCGAACTTTCTTATTTTGACCTTTTGTTTTTTCCTTTTCATTTCCATTCCTTTCCTTTTTTACTTCCTTTTTGTTACTATTTTTTTTTTTTTTAATTTTTCCGTGTTAAGTCTATTTTTTTTTCAGTACCCACACCCCGGAGTTTTTCTGTTTTTTTTGTTTATTTTTACTTATTACGTGTTAATTATTTCTGTGTTACCCGTTTAAAAAAAAAAAAAAAAAAGTCTACGTGTTTAGAATATTTGTTTTAATTTTTTGTAATTTCTGTCCTCCTCATTTTTTTTTTTTTTTTTCTTTGTTGGGTTGACCGTTTTTTTTTAGCGGCAGCCATTTTGTAAATTGTAACTTTTTTTTTGTTTCGTACGTATTGCGTTTTCTCTTTTTTCCGTTTATAACTATTAGTTTTATTGTGTAATTTGTAGCTTTCTTGTCTGTTGTTCTTTTAATTTTTGTTCTTTATTCGTTTTTGTGAACCTTGTTCACTTTTTCTCGTCTGTCCATTTGTTTTACCTGTTTACATTTGTGGTTATAATTTTTGTACACGTCCTTCTGTTTTATTGTTTGTTGATATTTGTTTAAATTGTTGTTTTGCTGATAAGCAAACCTTTATTTTTTTTACCCTCCCTTTTTATTTTTTTTTCTCCCTCCCTCCGCCTACAAGGCGGTTCCCCACCCGTATTTACCCCTCCCCTTCCTTCTTATTATTTTAATAATGGATAAGAAAAAGGAAAAAAAGCCACCCTCCTTTTTGGCCATTAAAAAAAAGCCCAAAAAGGCTATACGTAAACACCTATTTAACCCTACAAAGAAAGATCCCCCGGACAAAGATAGCTTAGATGAATTTCCTGCGCTTGTGACTACTTCTCCTAGCAACATTGATACTGCTGGGGAAAAAGAAAAAGAAAAAAATATTTCTACGGAAGCCAATAATGGCAATAAGGAAAAGGACTTACCTATGGAGGCCAATAATGGCCAAATTTCAGAAAAAATAGCAGAATCCGGAAAAGAACCGCAAACTGAGCCTGAGGCCGGGGAATCGCCCTCTTGTTGGTCGTCCCCTCCTAAGTGCATTATCAATTTAGCGGAGTTCTTGGAGCGTGCCAAAAGTTACGCACACCTTGTTGTAGAAGGTGGGCTTTTGGAAGACCCCCAAGAATTGAAAAAAATTGACAAAAGAATAGTGTCAGTTTTCGTCGTGGACAAGCGTACGCGCAAAATTTGTCGCTCGACGAAAAACACAGTGTTGAAAGCACTGGAATCCTTTGGGTTCAAGCCCCTTAGAATAGTTAAGGGTGCAAAATTTTTCATGTGGGACGTACTGTTGCCCACATCAGAAGACTGCGTCGCCGCGGCTAGCCGTGAGCTAATCAACAAGGAAATTATATTGCGTACAGAGTACGAAGGCCGACGTAAGACCAGGGTAGCGGTATACAAGGTCCCTCCTCAGGTTATCGGGGAACATCTCGCGGCGTTCTTCTCCCAGTATGGCGAAATTCTGGGAGCTTCCTGTGATAGCCTGAGCGGGGGGTGGAGCTTCGACATCATGTTGGACGAGAAAGCCTTCCGCTCCATCCCCAACTGTCTGGATGTTGGCGTCTTGAAATTACCGGTCATTGTGACAGGTCGAAGACCGGTATGCTGGAGGTGTGGAGTGACTGGTCATCTCTCCTCCTCCTTCCCAGAGAAGAAGGCCTCTGGAAATCAAGCGCCAGTTACCCAAGATCCCCCTCTGACCGCGTCTCTAAATTCCGCCTCGCCTGTAATGGGCGTACCAGCCTCCGGGACCGGGTCGGTTAATCCTCCGGTCGGCGCGACATCAAAAGCCACATTCCCCAAAGAGCCTTCGCCCGCTGCCGGTGCAGTTGTGGAGAAGGGGGAGGGGGAATGGCTGGTTGCTGGTAAGGCCAGAGGGAAGCGCCGGACAGCGGGTCCTCAGTCCCCTGATGCCCCTAGGAAGAAAGGCACATACAGCCCCACTCCCTCTAACAACGTTAAGGGCGATGCCCCGGCCTCTGAAGAATCATTTCAAGAGAAGCAAAAGAGATTCGACCCAGGTTTTGAAAAATCTGAAAAATTAAAAGAATTGAAAAAGCGACTGGATTCAGAAAGAAAAGACCCAATCCCTTCTACGTCCTCTAATAGACCCCCCTTCTCCAAAGAAACAACCCCCACCATCGGCTGCTATTTCACCATCCAAGGCCAAACCCATCAGTAGAAATCCCAGCCCCTATAGACACAGATCTTTTTATACCCCTATGAACACACCCACTCCTTCCCCCGTTTAAACAAAAATCCTCCCCCCTTCATACCCCCAAGCAATCACCGGCAAAAAATGCCGAGATGCCTCCTCCTGCACCAAAGCGGCAAAGAAGCCCCACTCAAGAGGCAAAAGGAAAAAAAAAAGAGAAAAAAAAGGTTCATTTTTAACTCAGGAGAGGATGTATGCCGTATTTCCCCAGCCCAGGCCGAGAGAGCCAGGGACTACGGCAACAGGGTGAAAGAACTCAAATACCTTCTCTCGATAAAGCAGTTTGCTGATCTGGACATAGAATTTCCTCAAAATTTCCCAAATGCCCAGAGGGTCCTGACAGTTATTAGGTCAGGACCTGCGGCTAATCCAGCCTGGGCCATGGTAGAAGAAGCGGTAAATGCCTGTAAGATGGCTTTGCCCATCGCCATTGTTGAGAATGACAATTTAAAAAAATTACAACAGTTCTGTGCAGGGAGGGTCCCCGTTTTAGTACACCCATCCCTATATAGAGCTCTTAAATTGACCTTCCCCTGGGATATCGGCGGTATCTCCGAAGACGGCACCATCAAGAATGAGATGGGCCATGGGTCTATGGGAGACGTGGTCGGTATCCTTACCCCGGCCATGTTTAATGCTGGTAAACAACCCTAATCGGACTTCACAATGGCTCTCTGGTTAGCTACGTTAAATGTGCGGGGCCTGAGGTCCGAGTCTCGCAGGGCGAGGCTCTCTCGTGACCTTCAGCGCCTCGGGGTGAATGTTTGTTGTGTGCAAGAGACCGGTTTTTTTTCTCATGACCATGAGGATATACTGTCTAAGGGTTCGCCCTTTATTCAGCATGTTTTGATGGTCGTTCGAGGGGTGTCTCTTGGCTAGTGAGCAAGTCTTTGAAGGCTGCATGTTCCCTTGTCTTCGCAGATCCGGCGGACAGGCTTTGTGTGCTGGATGTTACTATAAAGGATAAGGCTTTACGTCTCATTGGGGTTTATGCGCCCAATTGTCATGCTGAGCGGCTTGCTTTGTTTCGGCAGATCGAGCCGTTTTTGAAGACTTTTCGTCGGGTAGTCTTAGCGGGGGATTGGAATGCCGTCCTTGACCCTGAGATTGATCGTATAGGTAAAAAACCGGGTACTAACAATCCTGATGTGAAGGCATTTCGGGACTTTATCGGCAGGTTTGATCTTGTCGATAAGTACCGGAATGAGCACCCTCAGGAGGTAG